GTCAGTGGTCAACGCCACTAGCGGCCACACCACTTCACGCCGCTCGCCTCCAAGGTACCCACCTTCCCGGCCCGCGTAATTCCCCCACACCACCACAACTGTCAGCCACTATGTTCCCCACCCTCGCCTACTGTACTATACTATACTATACTGTACTGTACTATTGTACAGTACAGTACGATACAGTACAGTACAACTGGCTGGCTTCCTAAGCCTATGAATAGAGCCAGAATTATCTCTACCGCCGTAGCGCCGTAGAAGCCGCTGCAGTAGGGTACAGGACCGCTACTCAGCCTCTCACCAGCCCCGTCTGTTCCCGACATTGTCTCCCACAGCTCCTGCGCGTCACTTCAACGTCTCTTGTCTCTTTGATGCCCATTTTCCATGCCAATGTGAAGCACCGCGTTCCTCGAGTTGACGAGTCGTCACGAGACCGAAAGACAGGCTTAATACTGCGGGACTGTCAGGTTCAAATCTGCGCACGCACTCTCGGTACCACATACCCCATTATCCGGATACGAACTTGACGGAGCCCGACTAGTCCTTCCGCTGTCAGTGTTCTTGGCGTACTTCAAACAACCTTCGGTCTCGGGTTACTGTGCGGCGTGGAGACTTCTGACTTGCCAGGCGCCACTGCTATGCTCTCAAACCAAGTTAGCCCGAGTAGAGCCACAGGTAGCATTACCTGCGAGCCAGACCACGCCATTCGCAAAGACGGCCTTGATGGCGCCAGTGCTGCCGAAGATACTGTCGCAGAGCCTAGTGTCGACGAGACAGACTACTATGACGCCGTTGAATACGCACCTCCGGCGCCATGGCAAGAAGCACACGATGCACTGCAGCAACAAATCGCCCTCGACAACAGGCAGAGCGACTCGAAAGATAGCATGCCACAAAATGTATTTGCAGACATCGGGCTGAATCATGATTCATGGATTCAAGGCGAATTATCGCCAGGTGTTTATGCTACATCCATGAGTTTTGCATCGAGTCTGGATGGAGGGATGATGACGCTGCAACAGAGACAACAACATTTCGCTGCTCTGTATCGGCAGCGGCTTCAACTCATGCAGCGCCACCAGGCACGTGAAATGAGCCAACAGATACGAGTTCAACTGCAGGCAATGGCACGAAGGGTATACACGGCATATCACAGTGACGCCAACCTGCCGAGTTCGATGGCATCGCAGGCTGTGTCTAGTGGGCGGAGTTCAGCAAGTGGTCTGAAACATAACGCAAGTCCGTCAAATATCCCAACCATTAAAATATGCTCGCTCATATATTTGCTTCTACAGCTACATACCGACGAATCTGGCTCTGGGCACACCACATCTGACCTCGGGGCTGAATTTTGAGTTGCAATCTCGTAATACTGTATAAGTAGAGACGACACTGTTGGACACTCTGTTTTCGATGGCAAACCGACTGACCTACTCGGACCTTGGAGACGTGCTGCAACGGTCGAGCCACTGCACGGTGGAGGTCGTCGCATGTTACCCGGGACGTCCCGCAGTTCTCTTTCTGTTGGACGACGAATACGCTGCTGTGAGAAGGCCTCCAGGCATCGCATTTGCAGTTCTCCAGACTCGAGTGCTCTAATATGAACCCGTCCGACGAGCACCATGCTGCGCTAAGACATGTTGTCCGGAGTCACGTGATACAGCCTGGAACTGTGAACTCTGATCTGAACTTTGAACTTTGACGACAGTGATCGCTACCCAGAGATGAGATGCATGCAGACCGCAGCAATGAATTTTGTCCACCAGGATACTGAAGTAGAACATCGCAGGTCAAACCCGGTACGCCTCGTCCGAGTCCAAGGAGCCACCCGACCCTTCTTTATGGGGGCAACGGCGTGCCTCAGCATAC